AAACTCCAATCCAACCTCTACTTAATAGTCAAAATAAGATATCTAACTCAAAAATGTGACATGCTAGCCATTTGTGTAAATCTCTTAGGTGATTCTTCTACGTTACTCAATCTTAAATTCAGCTTTAGTAACGTAAATGGTTCACCTCTTTTCATTTTTCTGTGTAACTCTTGTTGAAAATTGGCATCCCACCACTGCTTCTGCACTCTGTCTTACTGAAGAGGCTTTTACCAATTCTTTTCCTTGTGGTCTCTTCCCTTATGGCCAGTTCTAGGGACCCTTCAGGGCTCTGGACCCTTCAGCACTCAAGATCTCCAGTGCAGCTGTCCATTGTGAAAGAAAGAAGTCACATGAAGAAGGTCATTATTCAGGTTAGTTCACAACATGATGTAAAGGGGGCTTCAAAAAATCCATGGAAAAATCCATGATCCTTTTCTGACATTTTCCCACAAGCCTTTTCAAGTTCCCTCATGTTCAATGCCTGTGTGCTTTTGCTTAAAACTGCTGCCTGAATGAACCTTACGGTAAACACTAGCATTTGGAAGTATCTGCTGAGAGATCTAAAAACGCTCAGTGAAAATCCGTAAGGTCCATGGACAGTTTCATCAGTAAGAGTGCACTGTTCCTGTTTAAAGGGGAGATCATTCATCATAACTGACAGATTTCTTCGAGTGAAAGCCAGCAGTTCCTCATGTTGCGTGAAGCCAGTCTAACGTCACAAAACACTGAGAAGGTCCAGATCTGTTGGGCAGGGCTTATGTTTCCTCCTGGGGAGGCAATGATCTCTCCCTTTGTCTATACTTCTTTGAAATCCATCAGGAATTGGAAGAGAAAATCAAATGTGTCTTTGTTTTTCCTCTACGAACAACTGCCTCTTTGCCATGAAATTACAACTAAACTTTCTGATCCGAGTTCTATAGAAGAATTCTGATCAAAAGAACAGAAAGGGAAGACCAGAAATCCAAATTCTGAACGGAATCTGTGCTTTCTAGAGTCATTGAAGCTGGATGAATCCCCAAGACCACTGCCCTGAGATAATCATTAAACATTATATCTTAAACTAGAGTCTGGACTCTATTTTGAACTAATATATAGTCAATTTTAACTAATAATGTATGTGCTTTCAGCGTTATTCTCTTTAGAAGAATTATCATTGTGAGATCAAATTGACAATAGCAGTCCAGGAGGTTGCATGAGAAGCTTAGTGAGCAGTGAGTCCGACATAATGAGGGGAACGATAGCAAGAATGTAGCCCAGGTTGAAGAATATAATCAAGGTCACTGAATTGCATGTGTGGAAATTATTAGAATTCTATCTATTTGGTTGTGCATATTTTTACCAAGAAAAAAAAAGTTATTTTAGTAAAAGCACCAGAATATGTTTTTTTTCCTTTTCACCCACATTTCCAGTGAATTCAATACTCAAGAGGGCAATCCCCAAGTTCGAAAATCCAAGGCTCCCATTACTTGTATGACATTGATAGGGGAGTTTTGATCTGCTTTCTCTCGCTTACTTCTTTGTGTTATTAAATTATTTAGCTCAAAAATCTGATATTAGCTTCACTTAGTATGTTGATGGGGCGATGACAGAATAATAGTTAAATATGTTCTTGATCTTCGTTCATCAAGAGGGGCTACAGAGCACACTCATCTGTCATATTGCTACAATCTTTCAAATTTGGGTCAGGATCTGAGAAGGATATGACCTTTCGGAGTCTTGATGGCAGTGGATTTGGTTTTGGTTTGTTATACCAGTTGTTCCTGCCAAAACCACAGACACTAATGCCAAATTCTCCATTCCAAGCTACACTGGAATGATACAATGAAATCACCATCAATGCTATATTGTTGATAGCGATATTATTTCATCTTCTTTATTTCTATCATCTTGAACTCATTTTCCCTTGCATTTTTAATTCCAGTAAGTAAAACTAAGGGCACCGCAGGTATCCTGATATTAGTTGTAGAGAAGTAGGTGAATAGTCTGTGAAATGATGTGGCTATTGACCCTTAACCAGGTAATGAATTTAAAGAATGATAAGAGAAACAAACCAGATTTTGTTTCCTCTTCAATAAATTACCTAGTTTTAAGTAACAAATTTTTGAAATCCAGCCACTTGGAGTCTTTCATTAGCATGTCTTGATCAACCATGATGCACACATTCACTTCAGAATGTAGAACAAATAGTACTTTTTCTGTTGTCAAAAGAAGCATAAAGAAATAGATACCTTAAAATAAAATTACCATACAAGCTGCCTCATATGCACTTCTAGCTCTGCCAATAGATAGGTGGGTAATTCTTCAGCTCTAAGGGCCTTAGGGTCCTCTCCTCTCTCTCTCTCTCTCTCTCTCTCTCTCTATCTCTCTCTTGTTCTCTCTCTCTCTGATGATCTGGATAGTCTCTACTCTTTGATCTTTGAAGAAGGTTAACTAAAAACTGTATATATAAAATTTCTGAAACACGAGGTTCTTGTTATGCTTTTTGTGTATGTTTTCTTTTCTACCTTTCCCTGATATTTTTTGGTAATTCATGTCTCAACTTGCAAATCTACATGAAAGAAATGTTTCTGCTTTAAAGTTGATGCTGGATTGGATATTTCAAGATGAAAGTAATGTCTTCAACATGATTATTAACACTGAGGAACAATTCCAAAACGATATATCAAGTTAAGGGCATTTACACAGAGAAGAAAAAGTATTATTTTCTTAATGGTATTGAAAAAAAGAATTTGCTTAAATTCACTGAAGTGAGAAAATACCATAGTGAACTTGTTAATCAAAACTAATAGTAGAATAAATCAACTTTTATTCTTTTTACCACAAGCAGTTGATAATTTTCCATTTTAATATTTTGAATGGCTCAAAAATCAACACGCTAAGTACAATCATTTTAAATACAACAGGGTAAAAACGGAAGTGAGTACAGATTCTCTATCATGGGTGCACTATAACTTAATGCCAGAGTACAAATTGAATTTTATTTTTCATGTGGTAAATAACATATCAATTACATGTCAGGTATATCGATGAGTACTATCAAATTTCATCATTGTTAATTCACCATTGTTAAGTCACTAACATTTATAATTGGGACAAACTTGTTGAGAAGTCATTGAATCTCTCTCGCTAAGGGTTGGTGGACAATTAAGAGGATGACGCAAAACTTCAATAAATACAATCTACCATGTTCTCTTTCGTAATTGTTCCTCTCTGCATGCTATGCTATTATAGCAACTAGCAGACAAAAAGTTGCAGAATTATTTTACATTATATGAAAAATAATTTTATATTCATGAATGTATCAAAAACTCAGTAGTGACTTTAACAGAGGCTTTTGCATATAAAGTGATAGAATTGTCTTTTTAAAAAAAAGAAAGATTCTTTTTCTATGGAAATAAAACTCTTACTTGGTCCTATCAAGAGATAAAATTAGCCAATTTGTTTCTCACAAACAATTTCTACAATGATTTCTTATGAAATTCAAATTAGTTTTAAAGTTACTCAGAGAATGAGGTTTATAAAAACATTTCATAGCATTTTGAAGATTATTTTGCAAGGTCTTGTTTTCTTTTGTGTAAATTCTGGTACATTTTCAGAGAGAAAAGAATTCATCTCTAAGCCACATCATACTTATAATTTATAAGATACATAGACACCCTCTACCCAGCACAGGTAGATCAGTATCCATCCTAATTAAAGTGTTATCTTTCAAAAATGAATTTTTATATCAAGGTTTTTGGAACACAAGTGTTCTTTTTATGAAAGCATCGCCAGTTAAAGTTTACTTAAAAAGATCCATTTAACCCATGTGATTGTGATGGTTAGAGATTGTCACCTAAATACTCCCAGGTAAGGGTAGGCGTGGAGCCCAATCTATCAACTGGGTCACAGTCTGATGACACCTCCGTAGGGTCAGTCATAAACCTCTTTGTATAATAGAGAGACCCAGCAGAGTCTAATTCTCTTTGGCCCTGATCTTCTGCCAGAGCCGGATCTTGAGTCTGATTCCTTCCTCTCCTGTTGCATCACCTGCAGATCCCAGAAGCTGTCATGGGTCTGCAGTGGGGGATTCAGCTCGCTGACTTTGAACCTTTGCACCTAATAGCCTGTGAACCCTGCTGTGTCTCTGCTTCCTCATCCTGATCCCTGTTAATCAGCTTCCACAAGTCAGGAGAAGCCTGATTTGAACAAGGCTGGACTTAGCTATTTCTGCTGCTCTGTAAGTCCTTTCTTGATATGAATCTCCTTCTATGTACAACACAGACAAGCACCAATGGTTTTGCTTCTCTTGAGAAACCGGGCTAACACAATGGTATAGAGAAAAGGATGCTAATGTAAAGATTAGCTGTTTGAATCCATTGAGAAAAACCATCCAGAGAAAGATCTATTTGTATAAAATATTACAGCACAGACTACTATGGAGTGGTTCAACACATGCGGTCACTATGAATTGGAGTGATTTGCCAGTAACTGGTGTGGGTACAGAGACAATATAAACTGAGATTTCCCAAAAGCGGAATTTTAGGATAAGGGTTTGTAAGCAGATGGGTTTGGGTGAGGGACACAAGTGGCAAAGGTGATGGAAGAGAAGCCAGTGTATGTAAATAAAGCAGTGACAGAAAACTGTTACCAACTATCTACTCTCCCAGAACTGCTCATTGTGGATATAATTATTTTACATATATCAGTATATTTTATCATTATAAAAGTCCTATGAAATCAATGTCATTATTGTGTGTTTTATAGAGGAGAAAACTGAGAAGTAAACAAGTGAATTAACATATTCAAGATTACACAGTTTTAAAGTCGTAAGGCTAGAATTCAAATGGGGATCTCCCAATGCCCAAATACCTAATCTTTTTTTGACTATTATAAACGTTTATTTAACAAAAAAAATTGAACATGAAAAATGTGCATAGCCCCGTTTTTATACCGTAGTAAAACAGGTCCTGTGGAAAGCCAGGTGCGTAGAAACAACTGAAGTAGATGGTTGAACGTAGTTATTGTATTCGCTCCAAGGCTTCTAACATGATGATACTATTGCCTCTTATCACCACCATTCCAATATTGTTCCCTTGTCCACTAGTTGCCATCTCCACACATTCATCTATCACAAGATTCATAAAGGGATCAAATCCCCGAAGTATCCCTTGGACATGCCTGCCACCATTTAATTTCAATGATAACTCCTTGTCCATAAATCTTTTCAACTCGGGCGGAGGAGCTTTGCTCATTCTGTCTTCTCTGGAGGTTCAGCATTGCCTTGAAACAGAATTTGTGGCTTCCCTCCCAAATACCTAATCTTAAATGCTAAATTGTTATGTACGTTAACATTACAACAAACACTCTGATCATATTTACCTCTTTCATTCCTGTGTTCTTCTTGTTGTTGAAAGCAATTGAGTCAATTCTGACTCAGAGAAACCCCATGTTCCAGCCTGGAACTGCCCAACAGATTTCTACATGTTGACTGTTGTGGAAGCAGATTGTCAGATCTTTTCTTCTTTGGAGCCATTGAGGGGGTTGGAAATGCCAATGCTTCAGTTAGCAACCGAGTGCTACAGGGTCTTATCAAAGTATGCCTGCTCATCTTGAACACCACTTTGGTTTCTCAAGCAGTATCAGCCCTGTACTGTTTTCTCAACTGGAGAATTTAGGATAGTTTCTCTTCACATAGAATATAGGAAAATTCTCAGTGCTAATTTCTATGTAGGCCAACTGTTATTAGTATGGATATTTATGAATGCTTATATATATATGTAAGCTCTTAATAGGTAATATTATTTAGCACTTATTATATGTGAGAGATATTACTTAAATATGTAGCTCATTTACTTCTCTAAGTATGTCTAGTTAACTATTTGATAAATATTGTTAACTTGTATAGGGCAATTCTTTGAATTAACTTTAATCTAGCCCTTGCATTATAAAAGATCAAATGTTGCAAGTCAGTGAACACATTGAATGTAATGTAGTTGATACCTTGAGGAGTCTCTCCTATAGTTTTAAGACAAAACAAATATCTATTAGGCAAAAGGCAATAAATTATGTAAGAAAATACTCACACAAAGTATTATAAGAGCTTCATAAAATGGAGGCATCATTTCCTTTTGGAACAAGGATTTTACATGAGCCATAAATACTTTTGGAAAGAATCTGTGGACTTTGTATCCGTGTGGATCTTTAGTTTCAGTAGCTTATCCTCATTTGAGCAGAAGAACTTTTGCAAGAATATTGAATTGTATATGAATCTCTGGGAGAGCTAGAAACCCATGTCCCAAGGTAGTGTGGGCAGGCACAAGACCCCAGGGCTGTGATGAGAATGTGTCATGCCTGTTAACAGTGCTGCCATGATAACCTGAGAAGTTTCCCTGCCACAACCAGAGAAAATTCTCCCTGATTACAACCCCGCTTTTTTCCCCCATCACTATGCTCAGACTTAAAAGGCAGAGCCTATGCTGGAAACTCGTGTACATACTGCAAAAGAAGCATCGTCCCTTTCTGCAATGAGGGAGAAGCTCATCCTCCCACAAAGACTTGCAAGATGTCAGATGCGAAGGACCCAAAGAATGAACAGAGGTCCCTCAAAGGTGGAATGTGTAGTAAGGACATGCCCTGATGAGTCAAAGGCATGATGCAAAGCACCAAGCTATAGACACAGGCTATATGATCAGAGAAATAAACTCTGTATGGTGTGTGCTCACAATTGACTCATCAGAGACTATAGAAAGACTGGGGAAGGTTGATGTGGAGGTTGGGAGCAACAGAAAAACATACACCTTCTACTGTGACCCTAAGAAGCGCTGGTGGTGTAGGGGTTTAAACGTTCACTGTTAACAGCCAGCTCAGCAGTTCAAACCCACCAGGCGCTGCGCAGAAGATGGGGTTTCTAGTCCAAACTGACTCGATGACAATGAATCTGTGACCTGCGGTCAGATTATGCAACATGTGAAACAGGAAACTAAGAAACTGGTTTCTGTTTGTTGTTTGGTCGTTTTCCTTATGTCTGTTGTTTCCTGTGGAGGACTGGAGAGTTGTCTTCTGACAGTGATGGGGAGCCAGAGACTCGGGTGACTTGCCTCACTTGCTCTACGGGCCTGTCTGTGAACAACAGACGGAGCTGCTTGGCCTTTGGTTCTGCGGCTCGACTTTGCGTTGTAACATGTTCTTCTCCGCGAAACCTTAACAAGATAATGTGATGATTTTATCTTCTTTTAACATGGTATTATTTTATTTAAACTGTATACAAGAAAGCACAATATAAAGTGAATGTTTCTCACATTGCACAGCACATGCAACATTTTAAAATGTCCTCGTGGTAAGTGACATTTTAAAGGACTTGGCTGGCTTGAATACTAAAAAAATGACTGAAAATAAAGTTTCCAAGACCATTTCACAAGCACTATCAAACTGTACTACTTCCACGTTTTTACTAGTCTCGGAAAAGAGCCTTGGCAGTTTCTGTTTTTCTTCTTTCTTCCCTTTTCCTGAATTCTTTTGTCATTAAGTTAAAGTTTAATGTGACCGCTGTACATGCTTGCTAAATTCTAGTATTTTCAATTTTAAAGATGCTTTCCTTGTTCATTGATATCATTTTAACTCAAAAATATATGTGATTTTTAATGAAAAGTTACATTAAGTTGATATGAAAATATGGTGAAGAGAGCAAAATACGGTCAAGCTAGACTTGACAAGCAGTTTCTATGCGTGGACTTAAAGTGACTTGACTTCCCTGCACGTAAGGCACAAGTGAGATGTAATCATCCCTGTAGTAGATCTACAGTCTTTTAAAGAGCCCATGTGGCAGGGGGTGGTAAGTGTTGGGCTGCTGACCTCAAGGTCAGTGGTTTAAATCCACCAGCCTCTTCATTGGAGTAAAACAAAACTCTCTGCTTCTATAAAGTTACATACAGCCTCAGAAACCCCCAGGAGCCTCCCTCTGAGGCAGAACCAGCTTGACGTCAGTGGGTAGGTAAAGTCTTTAAGAGGCACATATTGGCGTGCTAAAATCCAACACAAATGTTCATTGTGTGCCTCCATATAGGTCTCATTGAATAAGAGACAATCTCGTCTGTATTTTTTTTAAGTGCAGAAGAAAACTCACAGGGCTAAATTATAGAAAGAAGCATTTTCAACATTTTTGCTATAGTATTTAGGGGGAAAAACTAACAACTTCTAGATATCAAAACATGAGTTGTGATCAGCTCAAATCGGTAGATACTGTCATTTACAAGTCTTGGCATTGAGAAAGCAAGAACAAGACAGGAAACAATCCTGAAGAATGTCCACTGCTGGCAAGATTTTCACTTTGTTCATGTCTTATACATTCTCTACTTCTGATAATAGTCATACCTTTGCACTGGGTCATACTGACTATTTCTGAACAATAATGAAGCAGTGGTGCCATTAATACTTAGGATCGATGTTTTCTGCTGTTGGTCACGGTGGACGGAAAACCGTTTTCATCTCAGACAAATAGAATATTTGATTCAGGAGCTCAGGCTTTTTCCTAGATATATCTAAATTATGATTCCTTTGATTCTTAAATGTCCGGCAGCAAATGTGGCAGACATTTGTTACATTGTTCTTTGCTTACATTATTGGTCATTTCATAAAGATGTGGCTGTATTTTAATTTCTAATATACTATAAATTTTATCCACGGGAAACATTTTTCTTCCTCCTTGCTTCACCAGAACTAAAAAATTGTTTAGTTCTATACATTAGAGGAATCTAAGTGTATTTTCCTGATATCACTGAGAGTCTTTCCGCTGTAATTTCCACCACTCCGTTGGAGTTCACAAAGTGAAAAACGCACTGCTGCGTTAACTCTAGTTCAAATGACGAGATGGTAGAGTTTCCCAATAAAGAGTGCTGTCAACTTTTACTGAGTTATGGTGTAAAGCAAGTACAAACCCGAACACCAAAAACCTGCAATGTGTTTTCAAGGGGAATGGAATTTTAAAAGCTTAGATGAATACCACATGTAAAAATTGAATAACTCTATTTAATATTTAATTATAAAGAAAGGTGCATATCTGACAGGTAACGATCCAAAATGAAATGGTGTTGACCGAGTGTCCGTCACCCTTTGTTCATTGCAAGTCCCCGAGGTTGCTTACCTCGCTAACTGCAGTCAGAGCAACTTCCTACTTGTAAGGCATTTTATTAGCGAAAAAAAAGAATGGCTGCTAAAATTTAGGGGTTTATTGTCTCAGAATGATGCCCAAATAAATTAGACATAATAGAGGTATTGCAAAATAAATGAATCTCTGCTGAAATTCTTGATTTGCATACCTTAATTAAAGCAACTTAAAAATCAACCTACAATAAATGAGTGAAAATACAATAGCACATTTCATATTGAAGAAATAAATACATATATGTATATGTGTATACACACACACACACACAAATGGAGGAGTTTCAGAGAGTTTATAAATCAATATAATTAAAAGATAATGAAATTTTGCCGCAAAATTTTTGAAGTCTCCTCATGTTTGTTCAATCATGTGTAATATCACCCCACTATATTTGGTCATAAAGTTGAAGTGAAGGCTAACATGATCTATTTACTATCTCATAAAGTACACATGGCTATCTTATACATAATAGCGACTCAGCACTTGTGCACTTAGGAGAGACGGAAGCCTTTCAGTGACATATTCTTTAAACACATAATTCTGATACCCCAGGAAAATACAAGCCATGTAATCATTAACCTCTGTGCTTATGTGTTATGAGAATCAACATAGACTTATGCTGAGGGGTTACCAATATAATTGTTTTTCATGTTTTCTGGATTTATCCTAAATCTCAATTTTAACACTAACCATTTGAGTCATTTGAGATTTTTTGCCTAAATATGTATATATTTTTAACTATGAATGGATATGTGTGGAAGCATGTGTGAACATGACTATATGTCCTTATATTAGGTAGAGACAGAAGTTTTCAGAAATTCACGAGAAACAACAGGCTATCATTGTAGGCTCTGCCTCAGTGGGAGATAATAGACAAGAAACAAGATCTGGCAAATTCTCTGGCAGGTAAACTCCTATGGCTACCATTACTCAGGAAATGTATGAAGAAGAGAGAATCTAAGGGCTTTCCACCCAGATTTTCTGTTACTGACTAATTTAATTACTATACAAAGTAATTAAAACTCAACTAAACATCTTTCTAATATTTGCTTTCTTCAAAAATCGATCTGACATCAGCAATGATATCCCTTG